GTCCGTAGGACAATTTGACGCATTTTGGCGAAAGTTAAAAAATAGAAGATTTTTGGAAAGTTTGACCGAGAGTTGACTTTTTGATATCGTGGTCGGAATTTGATTATGAAATATGTTATTTATGAATTATGTGCAAAATTTGAAGTCATTCCGGGTTGATTTGATATGTTTCGGCACAAAAAGTAGAAGTTGAAAGATTTGAAAACTCATAATTCAATTCAATGCACGATTCGTAATTTCGGCGTTGTTTGACGTGGTTTGAAGCCTCGATTAAGTTCGTATTGTATTTTGGGGCATTTTGGTATAATTGGTTATGGTCCCGAGAGCCTCAGGTGGATTTCAGAAGGTTAACGGGATGGATTTCGGACAAAAAAATAAGTTGCTGAAATTTTCTGCTGCAGAAGCTTTGGACAGCACTGTGCAATCGTGGAGCCTACTTTGGAAGCTTGTATCTCGAAATCCAAGGAATATGAAAATTTACAAAACATGAAAGTTGTAGCCCTTGCATCCTAGTTTCCAAAAAGTTAAATTATTAATCATTTGGACATTTATACAGAAAGTTATGATCGATTTACTGAAGGCTGGTCAAGTTGTTTTTAAAATTTTCCAGAAATTTCTGATGCGAGTAGGCTACTTTGGGAGCTTATATCTCGCTATTTATAAGAAACTGGGTGATGAGCAACACATCAAAGTTGTAGCTCTTGGTGTCTAGTTTCGAGAAAGTTAAACCGTTGATCATTTGAATATTTGTACAGAAAGTTATGATCGATTTACTGAAGGCTGGTAATGCTATTTTTTTTCTGAGACAGAAGCGAAATCGCATGTATCAAATGCGATTTATAAGTCTCAATTGACAAATGCAACTTGCCTAGATAGATTCTTAAATACAAGAATTAGCCATTTTTACTCATTTTTGAGTTTTGAGTCTCGGATTTAGGCGATTCCAAAGGGAGTTTTCACGATTTCGACTTGGGTAAGTGTTCTATATCCGAAAATGATTACATTTCATAAATCCATGTCCATATTCATCAATTATTTCTGATTTAGGTGTAAGAAATTGGGATTTTTGTAAAATCTTAAAATACGAATTTTCAAGATTTGAACATCGATCAGAATCGAATTTGAGTAAAATTAGTATAGTTGGACTCGTAATTGAATGGATTATTGTATTTTGTGAGTTTTGTCGTATTTAGAGACGTGTGGCCCACGGGCAAATTTTGGGTTCATTTCGGATTTTGTTGGAAAATTAGTATTTTCATATGGAATTAATTCCTATAATTAGTATTGACTGAATTGAATTAACTGTGGCTAGATTCGGATCGATTGGAGGCCGATTCGAGGGGAAAAAGCATTTCGGAGTAGGATTTTGCTCGGATTGAGGTAAGTAATGATTGTAAATGTTGTTCTGAGGGTATGAAACCTCGGATTTCACATCGTTGTGCTACTTTGAGGTGACACACACGCTAGATGACGAGCGTGAGGTCGTGCACCGTTGGGGATTGTGACTTAGTCTGTCCCGTATGAGTGTTAAACCGCGTATTTGATTGAAAAATGTTTGATATCATTGTGTTTTGGAAAGTATTATCATGTTTTGGGCTGAATGCCATATTTAGGCCTTGTGCCAACTGTTTTGGACCCTTAGGAAATTTTTACTACTATTCCTCACTATTTTGACTTCATATTTGTACTCAGTCATGTTGTATTCTACTATTTTCATAACTCAGCCATATTTACTCCGTTTTGATATTTTAAATGATATTTTGGGCTGAGCATCATGTTTTACTGTTGCCCGAGTGGTATGAGAGATTTCTGACTGAGTGAGGCCGAGGGCCTGTGTTGTGAGGATACTATGGGATCGAACTGTGCATCGTAGCAGTGTTATACTGATTCATGATTTTGAGGTCGAGGGCCTGATTTGTTACGCCACGAGGTGGCTTGTTGATATGAGGCCGAGAGCCTATTTGATTATGCCACGAGATGGCTTGTTATTGCGCTTGGGCCGTAAGGGGCCCCTCTAGGAGTCTGTACACCCCCAATGAGTGCGAGTACCCAGTGTGAGTGATATGATGTAGCCTGAGGGGCTGTTGTTGTTTCATATTGTTGCCCGAGGGGCTATTCTTGATCCATGTTTTGCCCGAGGGGCGATTCTTGATTCATGTTATGCCCGAGGGGCTGATTATGAGTGATTGTGAGGTAGCCCGATGGGCTGGTTCTGTTGATATTATGCCTGAGAGACGGTTTATGGTACATGTTTTGCCCGAGGGGCTGTTTACATTTCTATCATTTTTACTCACTATTTTATCACTCGTTTGAAACTATGAAAGTTGTTTTAAAAAGTTTTACTGAAACTGAGCTTGATTTACGAAGTAAATGGTTTCTGTACTGTTTTTGAAAAATATACGGTATTTGTTATAGTGTTATGACATAAAATTATGTGTTTTCTTACTGCTCAGTCTTTATTTACTCTTATTACTTACTGGGTTGGAGTACTCACATTACTCCTTGCACCTCGCGTATAGATTCAGGTATTTCGGAACCCAGTAGCGGGTGTTGATTGCTTAGAGGCGGAGTCGTCGGAGTTAGCAAGGTGGCTGCACGACGTTCGCAGCATTGCTTTCCTTCCTCTCATTTTCATTACTGTATTTAGTACATTTTTAGACTCTTGTTATATTCAGACCTTGGTAGATGCTCATGACTAGTGACACCCCGATACCGGGCTTGTGTAATTATTCCGCACTTTTCTTTTAAATTTCTTTATGAGATATTGGTTTATAAATGGTATAAAAATAACTTTTATTGAAAAATGGTTGATTCGGGAGTTGTGTCAGCTGGCCTAGTTTCACGATAGGCGCCATCACGACCGAGTCGGTTTTCGGGTCGAGACAAACTTACAAGATTTAAGAGTTAACTTGGTCAGAATCGTCGTGCAATGGTTTGTATCTGTATTTCTAAGTAATTGTTTGATGCCTACTTTTAAGTGGTAACTGTTGAAGAAGCACGAAAGTTGTGTATGATTTTGTTACTCAATAGACTGTATACTACTTTGTTTACTAAATTGAAGCTAGGCCTACTGTTATGCAAATCGGAAAAACACTGGATAACTGGACTTTTTATACAAAATATTGAACCTAATTCAAGTCATTTTTAAACTTTCCTTAGATAAACAGTCGTACATATACGTCCAATATATTTAGTTTCAAGGATTAATAATTAGTAGAACGGCTGCATCAGTGAGCCATAAATTAGTAATTACAGTATGAAATGACAGGGACTATGATGGGTATTAAAATCATTCTTTCAAATAAGGCCTTTCACAATACAGAGTTCTTTGACTTCAATTAATTTATTTTTAATATTACGTGATTATTCAATATTAATCAAACTGCCCAGATTATAATATTATGAGCGATTAGTTATTGAGAGACACCTAGATTACCTCCGTCTAGAATTGAAGCTCTAGCTGATTATATGCATTTAAAGGGTAAAAGCTTAGTGTACGTTCTGATATTTGGTTGGAAAAATCCCCAATAATTTATATGATTATCTTTGAACTATGTCAAGATCGGCTGAAATACATGTTCTTATATGAGGTAAAGTGTTTGCACTTTTTTCTATTTGTCATAATGAGGTAGTTTTGTTCACGTTGGGCCCGGGCTACCCTTTACTAGTATATATATATATATATATATATATATTATAGTATACATATTTTATATATTTGATTATTGTATGTAATATTTATGACGCCCCGTAAAAAATAACTTTTCTTCCTCTCATGTAAATCCTTTTTCCTTGGGACATTTGCATCTATATCCGCTTTTTGTATCACATTTTAATTTGTACCCACTTTGCAAAAAAATTGCAAGCGTACCCGCTTTTTCGCATAACTTCAGCACACAGGGCTGAAGTAGCAAAAACAATCACACAAAACTTCAGCATTCTAGTAGCCGGGCCTGAAGTTTAGCTCTAGAGCTGAAGTTTTTGTGTTGTAACTGGAAAACTTCAGCTGTAGAGGTGAAGTTTTTGTGTTGTAACTGGAAACTTCAGTTCTAGAGCTGAAGTTTTTGTGTTGTAACTGGAAAACTTCAGCTCTAGAGCTGAAATTTTTGTGTTATAACTGGGAAACTTCAACTCTAGAGTTGAAGTTTTTTTTTTGTAACTAGGAAACTTCAGCTCTCTAGAGCTGAAGTTTTTGTGTTGTAACTGGGAAACTTCAGCTCTAGAGCTGAAATTTTTGTATTGTAACTGGGAAACTTCAACTCTAGAGTTGAAGTTTTTTTTTGTAACTGGGAAACTTCAGCTCTAGAGCTGAAGTTTTTGTGTTGTAACTAGAAACTTCAGCTCTTTGTCTTTGTAACTTCAGCTCAATAGCTTTTGTATTGTTTTTGCAAAAAAGACGACATATGTTGGAGAGATGTATACTCAGAATCTCAATAGTTTTTGCTACTTCTCTAATTATAAGATTATATGATAGCGACATAGAGAAACTATTCAATCCTGGGTAAGAAATTAACTGAAAGCTGAAGTTTGACTTTGTGCAGATATTTTGTTCTCTTTATTTTGTAAGTTTTGCGTTGGAACTACTCCGACAGATTCGATTACGCATAAAATGCATATGCAATTTTACAACACTTGGATGGTAAAATATTAGTAGAAACATGACATGACATGACACAGAGGTATACTATTTAACCCCGGGACAGAAATTAACTGAATCTGAAAGTTTGACCATTTTAATATTTTATTATCTCATCAAATTGTTTATCGATCTGGCTTTGTTCAGAAATCCTTAGTATATTTGCTTTAGCTTCATTAATCAAAGAGAGCAATGTTGAAGTCATCGTTGTAGAAGAAAAAAAAATGAAGAAGGAGAAGGAAAAGAGAAAGAGAGCTGAAGTTATTTAAAAAGTGTGTACAAATTAAAAAATTTTAAAAAAGTAAGTATAAGTTAAATAGGGCGACAAAATAAGGCGTTCAATTTTTTTTCTTTTCCCTCGAACCATAAACCACACGACGCGGAAAAAGGAAAAACCCCAAAACACAAAACCCTGATTAACCTCTAAAACCTCAGGACTTTCGCACACTCCCACTACTTCCACCTTTCTTTCTCCGGCCGCTCTGCAAGTGAGGACGGTGGTGGTATTCAAAGATGGAGTACGTTAATCCGGAAGGTCTTCGCTTAGATGGTCGCCGTCCCATGGAGGTTTCTCTCTTTACACTTACACCTCTATTCACTCACATAATTTCCGTCTTTTTGATTTTAACTTCATTGCCTTTTTGTTTTGACTCGTTATGTACCTCTATGTGGAAATTTTACTTTCAGATGAGACAAATTCGTGCTGAAATAGGGGTTGTCTCAAGAGCTGATGGGTAACCGCTAACACTTCTTTCTATCACCATTAATGTTTATAGGTTAAATGTAACCACTGTTTTTGACTTGAACCATGATACATATGCAAATAACAAACAAAGAAAAAAATACTTTGAAAGTGTATATATATAATAAACCGTGAGTAATTTATTCGGTCTTTGTACCCAAAACATTAGATGCATGACATGTGTATTTTACATCAAATTCTATCCGGTGTTTGGTGCAAACATGGGTAGGTTTTTTCTGAACATTTTGAATCCTCTTTTGATGCTGCATCTTTTTGTATTTGAAACTGAATTTGTTTAATCCGATTATTTGCAGCTCTGCTTCTTTTGAAATGGGTAATACCAAAGTCATTGCTGCAGTTTATGGTCCTAGGGAGGTAAAATTCGTGTCACACTCAATCTGCCGATTCTACCCTTATTTGGATTGTGAATCAAATAAAATTGTTGTTTCTTGTTGTTTGCATTAATGGCAAGGAGAAGTAATGGTTATGGCCTTTGAACTGAAAAATAAAGGTGGAGGGAACTCGATCATGTAAGGTAGCAGTTTATATGACATTGTCTTACACGGTGGAGGGAATGTGGCTTGGTAAAACAAGAAATTTTTGATGGGTTGATCTGCTGACTTTTCAAATGTGGGGTGGCGGAAGAGAGGAATAGATAAATCTTTTGTGTGGATAATGTTATGGACCGTTCGGTAGCTTAGTCTTTGCAGTAATTTTACTAAGAAACCTGGTTAAACGGTTCTTCATTGATAGGCATGAAAATGGCTAGGGTAGGGTGGGTTTGGAGCAGAGAAGCATTACCCCCACCAAATTTCTGCTCCATCGCAATAAACATCCCCAAAGGAAACGGAGGAAGAATGTACAATGGATGTTTTATATTGTTTAGAAGTCAAGAAAAACATCACATTGAGATGCAAACTGGATAGATATCCATATGCTGGTGTATATGCACATCTACGAAAATATCTAATCACAACCACTGCGATCAATGATAACAATGATGATCTTAGTTTTGCTCTGTAAAAGGTTCATTCAATTGACTCTAATGTTAGTTTCATTATTCAGGTCCAGAACAGGAGCCAACAGATCAATGACCAGGCGCTGGTAAATTACCTTTCATGATGAATTATTAGAGTGTAAGATGTATCACCTTAAAAAGTGAGATGATATGATCTTTTCATTGGCTCTCTTTTAGGTACGATGCGAATATAGCATGGCTAATTTCAGCACTGGTGATCGCCGAAGAAAAAATAAGGGTGACAGGTGATTCTATGTTATGTTATAAGTCCTTCCTTCCGCTTTTTATGTGTTTTCATCCATACGATTATATCATCTGCTCTGCTGTCAGTTCCATTATAGAAAAAAATTTGATGCATGCTTGAAAATTTAATGGACAATATCGTATAAAACTGGTGGCAGAAGAACAGTTATCCCGGCTCTGGACTGAAGTACAAAAGATGGAAGGCATGATAGAGTATTAATGGTTATTGGATGGATAAGAAAAATTATACTATAGCCAAATGGAAGACTTTCGGACTGTTCAGGCACTGGTCCAGCCATGAAAGGGGTTGCTAGGATACTAGGATAGCAACTGTAGTCATAGTAGAAAAAGAAGCAAAGTTCTAGGAATACTTATAGTTCCCAAAGAATAACCCTTTATCATAAGACTGCAAAAGGCAGCAAAAAAACAAATTTTACACAGACAATGTAAATAATATCTAAAAATTTTAGTACGTGAAGTCTTAGCTTATTATCTATGATTACCCACAATTAACTAAGAAGCAGAGTTTATTCGATCTGTGTGACTTATGGTTATATGATGACATTTTGATGATAGCTTTGTTTTTTATTTGTAGGAGATCCACAGAGATATCTCTTGTTATTCGCCAGACAATGGAAGCTTGCATATTGACACACTTAATGCCTCGATCTCAGGTTCAAGTCCTCTTAACATCATTAACTTGAATAAGTAATGGAGGCTGACCTCCATTTACAATTTCTTGATATTTTACTTTTCAGATAGACATTTTTGTCCAAGTTCTCCAAGCAGATGGAGGTAAGCAGAACACCTTAGAGGGTTGTGTTAAATTAAATTTCAGTGACATATTGTTTTTGTCCAGAATCAATCAGAATAGGTATTTAGTTGTCTGGTGCCACGTGCAGCCCATATAATGCAGTTCGTCTATTTTGTTTGCCCTCTAGAACTTTAGTCCAACTAAGTTTAGTGCATTATTTAGGTACAAGATCAGCATGCATAAATGCTGCCACGCTGGCACTAGCTGATGCTGGGATTCCCATGCGTGATCTTGTCACATCGTGCAGTGCTGGATACCTGAACAGCACGCCTCTTCTTGGTAAATTAATTCTGAAATTTTTAGTTGATTTTCCGGTTCTTTATTTCTAACTGATTTTCAGTCTTTTCCAGTATTGATATGTGAATGATCTAGTTGAGATTACTTGTCAAACAGATCTAAACTACTTGGAAGACAGTGCTGGAGGCCCTGATGTCACCGTAGGAATTTTACCTAAGTTGGACAAAGTGACCCTTCTGCAGGTTTGTTAACTCCTTATTGGCAGTAGCGATTGAAATAAGGTATCCAAAGTACATTCTTTTTCTCCTGGCGAATCAATGAATAACCTTCTTGGTGCAGATGGATGCTAAACTACCCATAGATACTTTTGAAACTGTCATGCAATTAGCAGTTGAAGGCTGCAAAGCAGTGGAAAGCTATATCCGGGAAGTAAGACTGATAACTCATTGCGTTCTTCCTGGCTTCATATAATTGTTCCGATGAAAGCTTCTACATCAGCATCTCCTATTGCTCGTTTTTCAGATATTATTGGAAAACACCAACAAGTTGGAGATTCGCCGAGGTGTATAGTTTTTAATAGTTCGAGGAGCTTTTATTGAGTTTTTGGTAAGATGTTACTCTTCCTAATTATAATGCTGACGTACTTTCTTGGTCAAGATTGCTAATGCTTTCCTCGAGGAAAATGAGAAGCAAAGAAAATTTGTGAGAACTCTATTGCTTGTTTCTTTCATGTCACTCTTGAAGCATTAGGAGGAAAAGACACGTTCCATCTCTTCCTTCTCTCTTTTTCCCGGGGGTGGGGCTGAGGTGGGTGTTGGTGGTGGGGGTTGAGGTTGTGGTTCGGGAGGCTAAGAGCGGCTTTTAGAATTGGAAGTATGTTCAGTCAAGCACCATGAGAAACGAATGTATTTGTTACAAATAATTGAAGATCGGTGAGGAAAACCTTATACTATACTTCTGAGAAATAATAAATATTGCAACGAGTACAAAATACAGGGCTAGACTAACAAGTTCATTTAATTAGTCCAATGGAGAAAGATAATGTGTAGCAAAATCTTTTTTCATAGAAAACGATAGGTCATCATGTTTTGTCATCTTCTAGCATAAACTTGTAATCTTCAGGTTTGACATAGCAAAATGGCGTCTCAAAATTTTTTCTGCTTGCGTTTATGGAGTTGCATTTAAGTGGAAATAAAGCATATGAAAACAGGCACCTGCTCGGGCTACAATAATTTAAGCCAAACTAAGCAAGTGCAATTTTTATACATAATATAATTCTTGTACCTTCTCTGTGTGATACAAAGCTTAGGTGTGGCTTTTCCTATTTAATTGCTGTAAAGCACGAGGCACTTATCTATGGCAGATTCTTTGACCCCCAGTTTATTCTTATTGTTTCCAGTTTGCTATAAATGCCAAAAGACAAATTGGGATCCTGGTTGTGCTGCTGCAATCTCTCTAAACAATGGTGGATCAAGAAGTTAACCGTACAAATCTGCGAGAACCTGTGGAGAAAATGATCTTCCCTAGTGTTTCTGGCTTGCCTAATGTCTTTTGTGGTTGTAGGATGTGTACTTTATGGATCCATATTATATTTGAAGATTAATGTGCGCTAAAGTTAATTTGGAACTGTATCGAAGAAGTTTTTGGTACGGGAGACCATAGGAGAAGCCCATCGTTTACTGTTTAATTCTAATTTTGGTCTTGGAAAGTAATATGGTTTTGCATTTTAAAGTATCTCAATATAGGCAGCTTATTTACAGTGTGTTGGAGAAAATTGTCAGAATTAAGCATTTGATGGACCAATAACCGTTTCACTTTCATGATTTACGCCGGTAGACTAACCAAATTAACAGATTAAGGCTAAATAACTTTTCTTTTCATATTAATCGCAACATTCAAACAAGGATACAGTGGCAACCACGAGTGACGCTATGCAGTTTATAACTACAGAAAAGTTTTTTATCTTCTCTTCACCAAAATGACATTAAGTCATGAAGATAGAATCAGTTTTACATACCTGAAAATATGCAATGCAAACATTACTCTGCGAAAACTTCTCTTTCAGAAGATAAAACACCAAGCAGCCATTCCAAAAAAAACAATAGGCTTTGGCGGTTCATAACAGCAGTTCAATGACTAGTATAACAACACATCATTACATCATCATTAACAAGTAAATAAACCTACTATAGAATTTGTAGTTCCTCATTAAGCTGCTGAGCCTTTACTAAAATCTTCTGCCCAGACTTTTAAGGATTAAAGATCACAAAAACTCGATGGCACGACCACAAGCTCTACACGACCAGTCCATTCCTCTCCTGGCTTCAATGTGATGGGTTTCTCTATTGCTGCCCCGTCAACACAAAGCATCTGCTTGTACTCCTCGTCACCAAAATCCGCCATTGCTTTGGATTTCTTATCCCATGGATTCCACACAACTGAAAAGACAGAGCAACAGACACCAAAAGGTTTTAGCTATGCAAATTAGAGTTGGTAAAATCTTTCATGCTTCTTTGGCAACTTCTACCATCACGCTATAATGCACCAAAAGTTTCTATAATACTACAAATTAACTTGTGATGTCTGAAGTCCTTGTATTGATGCTACATGCCTTGCATAATTGTTGCCAACAGAGAAGTACCTCTCTCTCAGGATTACAGAAATGAGCAGGTTTGTTAAGAGAAGAATAAATGACTCGAAGATACTAAAGTAGAATCAAGGTAAAAATATAGCCTTAAGGGTGCAGCACATGTTAATGGATACTTCCATTTGAGGACATTTTCTTTCTCCATGTTAAATTGAGATACTTACCAGTATCTGGCAATCCTTCCTTCCTTATCAGATATGTTCGTTTCCTTTCATGATCAAGAACAGCAATACGATTTGGAGAACTAACATAGACTCTGTCGATCTGCAAGAAACATGAATACTTCTTAATCTCATAAGCCACAATAAAGGAACACCTTACAGTTGAACGAACGGACTGATTTATCTCATTTATAAAGGTAGAATTAATGCCTTCAATTCTGAAAGATAAGGTGAACACCAAGTATTTCAACTTCTTCCTAATAAATTCAGGAAAAAATCATAAGATGTAAAGCATCGTTGCTCCGAGTAGGTTGAGGAGAGACTGCAAAGTAAATGCCTAGATAATTATCTTTAGAGCAATATTCCAGAATCAATGCTTCTTTGTTCAATTTAGAATTAATCTGACAAATCTATGGTAATGCAAAGCACAAAAGAATCACCTCTTATCTTTCTTAGGGCTCATTGTAAGGGTCCAAGATTGTTAAATACCAAGGAAAAGGTCTTATATTGAGCCACTCTTGAAGCTATCTTACAAATGCAACCACGATTGATGAGATTTCCTCTCTCATCTATAACCACAAATTTTGAGATGATGTAGGTTGTATTGAAAAATATACCTCAGATTCAAAAGTTATAGCATCTCCTTGTTCTGTAAAGCGTTCTTTCTGGCACAGATTGTCTAGATAATCCAGTGTTTCTAAACCTTCAATCCTTATTTCACTGTGGATAAGATTCATGTAACAGTCTATGAGATATTGGAAAGAATAAATCATCAAATTATTGTGCAATACGCAACATATTATGAAGACATAAAACAAAATGCCTCTCTGAAATTTGAACGGCTACAATATTTTTACAGAAAAAAGTACAAGATGTTGGGGAAGTGATAAAATGTTGAAAAACAGAACGTAATAAAATTCATGAATATGTTACAAAGAGCAGAGAGAGAACAGCATACCTTATGTCTGAAACAGAGAAGTATGTATGATAAGCAAATGAGAAGCTGAATTGTTTGCCATTGATGTTTCTAACACGAGATATCAAGGACAAGCTTCCGTCTGATGCCAGCGAAACCCGAAGGCGAAACTCAAAACTGGAAAACAATAATGAAGAGACTCATCAGCAACTTTGAAAGCTATAACTGTCAGAAACCAAGTAAGCATAGAACTGACTTTTGACATGAATTAAAGTCAGAAGTTGACATTCATTTCTCGCATGAAAGTATACGACGCTTTCATATCTATCTCTGAAATTTTTTGCCATCATGGTCACAACTCACAATAACCTAAATACTATGACTCAGCAGAAAATAATCGTGAGAGCTTCCAGTTTCATGAAACTGAAAGCATCTAAGTTAGCTGAATTTAATCATAGTTATTTATATAGATGTTGTATTCATGATCAGATTCTCATGAAATCATTTTCAAATTCAAAGAGGATTCTGAGATACAAAGTCTAGATCCATTTAAGTTAAAACAATAGCAAATTTTGATAGGCAATGAATAGCTTTGATTCAATATCCGAAGCTCCATACTGAAACCAACTAGAGTTTCAGATCATACCCATGAGGCCAGAATTTCAGATCATCTTCTGAAGGTTTCAGCAGTAAGTCAATGAAAGATTTTCCTTGCGGGTCATATGAGTATAGAGATGGAGGGTCATCCTCAATGGTCCAGATTTTGTTTCTTGCAAATCCAAGTTGCTCAAGTGAACCACCATTTCCATACTACAGCATATTTGAGATAATCAAACAAATTGTTGTAAAATAGTACTCATCGAAAGAAATTCAAGAAGATAGGCAGAATTACACATTCAGAGGTACCTGTGGAAAGCAAACAGAGATTCCTCCTCGTGTAGCTTTCGGAGACTTGAAGATGCTCTAAGACATAAGGGCAAACGTAGAAACAGAATCAGCCCTCACACTTATTCAATTACAAATACTGGTTTTCGCGAAGCGCATAGCATTACAAGTAAGCAATAGATGATGTAACTCATAATATCCTCAATGAGTAAATTTTGCAGGACACCCTCAATGAGTAAATTTTGCACAATTCTGCTAAGTCTTGACTACAACATTCGAGAAACCTCTAGTTCCAATCTTTACACCGTAAAACAAGTGATAAAGAACTTAAAGAAACTTTTTAAAATTAAAAAAAGTTAGAATTCAAAGAAATCTCCACTCTTAGAAGCTTTAGATCTCCAGCGCTAGACAATTCGTTTACTCATAAGAATTAACCGCTAGTAAAATGGAAAACCCCACCTTACTGCTGTTGAATAGGAGCTCTTCCCCTCTGTCATTCCGCCAAGAAGTAACTTGTCCTCCTTGCAAGCTCACCTGGATCAGAGGAAATTGTCAATAACCATGTGGGGTGGGTTTTTTTTTTTTTTTTTTTTTTTTTGGGGGGGGGGGGGGGGGGGGGGGAGGTCTGCTAATTGGAGATCCCATTCCAAACTACAGCAGTTTATAAAAACGTAAACGAGCATGTAATTGACGGGGGATTTGAAGGATGATTTCTTTCACAAGTGATCTAACAGATGATTTAGAATCATAAATTCATTAGATTTAATTAAAGCAAGAGAGAGTTAACAGAATCTAACCCGTAAAGAGGCACCCTGAGAGTTACGAAGCAAAACCTGATCAATCCCATTCCAATCTTTTGTTACTTCAATTGCTGCTGTATGATCCCAGATTGGTGCATACTGCCCCATTTTCAAATTGCACTTTTGCTCCTTGTTTCACAATATTTCTAAAAAAAGGCTTGAAACCCTTATTTTCTGCTGTTTGAACCTAAAACTACTGCCAGCAATGTATCGACAAATTCCTCCAGTATATTGGATTTATATCCAGCTATCTTAGACACAATCCTTCCTGGAAGCTTGTAATCTAGTGATCCCAAAAATATAAAAGGCCTCAACCGTAATCTGCCTTTCCTACTCCGAACCTTGTCACGACCTCTCACATTCAATGTACATTTACTCAAATCTGACTTCTACTTTGCAACAACAAAAAGCAACATCAGCTTCTTAAGCTACCTCAAGAAACCAACAAAATTTGACATTTGGCAACTGCATAGAAGCACTCAAATCCTAGCTAAATTCACGGTGAGGCATGTGATATTTACCTAAGCAAAAAGACAAGTAAACTTTTGTAAGTTAATGGACTAACAAACATACAAAGAAAGGGAAAATTCAGTTTTACTATGAACTTCAATAAAATATACCACAAAATTATTAAAACAAGATAAAATCCCCAGTCCCCATTCAAATCTCAAGTTTCAAAACTTTCAACTAACAGTTTCAGTAAAATTAAAAAGCCTAAAATCTCTAACAACCCATTTGGAAAAACTGAATTAAAGGTAGTGAATATGTACCTAATATTTCCAGAAATGTACAAAGGAAGCAATAAACTTACAAAGATAGATAAACCCAGTTCAAGGAAGCAAGAAAATACGAATAAAATAAAGAAAAAACATAAAGATCTAGACTTTATTCAATGCACAGAGTAGGAATGGAGTATAATGTAAACAAGTAGGAAAAATAAGTTAACAGTACATTAATTAACAGTAATTAAGACATGAAACACCGAACAATAATAAGAATAATTAAAGAATTAAACCTGGCTTAACAGGCAAAACTTGGAAACTTCGGAATAGCTCAAGTATAATACTGCATTAACAATTAATGGGGTGAAGTAAAAATTGAATCTTTTTTATTTCTGTGCAGGAGAGAGAGAGAGAGAGAGAGAGAGAGAGGAAGAAGAAAGGACGTGAAGATACGAAGAGGTACAAGTTGATGTACAAATCGGTCAAGATTTAGAAATAAAAAGGGAGGGATTTTCTTGGACAGTAACAATTCAATATTCAATTAAATTATTAGACACTTGGGAAAAATAAAAGAAATATAAAAAAGTCGAATTAATCAGAGAATGAGTTTTAATTTTGAGTGAGGTCAAAGAGGACAGATATATATAGTTGGCTATAATATGGGAGGTGGGATCAAAGGTTCAGGTGCTAATTGATATAGTGTCAACCCATGACAATCTACACTATTTAAGACAAAAACATATCGAACATTAAAATAGATCATAATACTTACTCGTATATGTGGATGCATTAAAACAATAGTAAATGCCTAATATGTACGTATTTATTATGTAAAATATTATTAGTAGTTATCTTTTCACCCAAGTCGATCAATGATTTAAGTTTTTTGGGATTGTTCTAAGCATTATCTCGAGATTATAGTCCTAGGAATAATCTTTGAACTAATTTATTCCACTTGAGAGATAAGATAAAATAATTTTAAGTGCGACAAAAATCTAGAATTCAGTCTGAGATTAAATTTATATTATGTTTGATGTACGATATAAAATAAATTTATACCGTCAAACGGTCACGCGTACCAAACGATTCTTAGGGTTCAACATCTGAGGCTTTTAATATTGAATCCATTATATATTAAATATTATGGATTTATGAATATTATTTATTGTAATTTTAATAGACTTAAAATATAAATTTATATGCAATACCAAAGGTATGCGAAAGGCTACGTACGCCTATGCTTTTCACTACTTGACATATAGATTGGTGCATGTAAGGGGTTTACATAAAATTTGTTCCCTGGTACTGCTTTTATGATTTATACCAATGAAAGTGGCGTTGTTATTATTTAAAGAGTGAAACAATTTTTTTCTTCAATTATTATTTTCAGTCTTTTACTACAAAAGTAATCAACACATTTTATGTATTTTATAAACTTATTTAAAAAGAGAATTAAAAAATTCATGTTTGAATTTGCACTAAAAATATAGATGTTAAATCTTATACTCTGAAATCTGCCATTCTTTTTAAATATAGAGTTTAGGAATCTTTTTTAGGAAAAAAAATGAATAAAGTTCTCGGTAAATAAATTTACTATTTGATGGAAGGGTTCTAACTTTTTTCTATTTCTGTTTGTACATTAGGTGTCTTTAGCAAACTCATTCTCCTATCAAATTAAGGTTTGAAGTCGTATGATTATTTAATTTGATCATACCTTATTTTAACATGACGTCACATCTCCATACCCCAAAATATCATCACCTTGTTGGATAGATATCAAAAACATTTCTTTTGGGGCTCAACATCCCCCAAAAAAAGAAAATACATCTGCTTAAATGGGGGATAGTTACACAATCAAAACTTCACGGAGGTCTTGGCATTCAGAATCTCTCCATTAAAAATAAAGCCCTACTAGCAAACAGCCTGGCGATTTTTTAAGAATTCGTATCTTTTTAGGCATCAATACTTCTCACGACTTACACAAATTCTAAAAAGACCTCTTTTATTTGGAAAAACATCCAACAAGAATGGAAATACTACCAACTAGGATCTAAATGGATAATCTCCACTGGCAACCATATCAAATTTTTGACTAACAGCTGAATTGATCACAACACCCCCTTTAGATCTTTAATTCAAGGTCCATTACCACTCTTAGAATCCCAACGCCCAATTAGCTCCTACATCCGTAATAATAGTTGGGACCTTAATAAATCACCCTTCCATCTCCCTCAGGTTATACTCATTAACATCCACTTACCCCAATACACAACCCACCATGATAATCTTATTTGGAACCTCATAACTTCGGGATAATTTACTGTACAATCATGTTAGTACTCCTCATTAACATCAACTGCTCCTTCTATAAATCATACTTGGATATGAAAACTGCCCACTCCACCTAAAATCATGTACTTCCTTTGGCTTTACAGCCATCACAGGCTACCTACAAATGCCTACTTAGAGCGCCTTAACATTATCAACAATAATCTTTGTCCTAATTATTTTATGGCTGAGGAGACTATACAACATGTCTTTTTTGAGTGCTACGCCTCACGACCTTTTTGGGAACACCTGGGCCTTCTCCATTTTATCGACACCCTCCAACAACTAACCATTTCCTAATGAAGCGAGTCAAACTATTAATCAAACAATATCCACACCATACCCCCTATAACATCCCTCCGTCACCCCTAATTCCTTTTTGTTTATAGAGTATTTGGCTCCAACGTAACCAAAATCTTTTTCATCAACACTCTACTCTTGTTACCTACTTACAAATTATTAATAGAGCTGCGGAGTTCCACTTTCTCGTACCCCCGCCACACAGGAACACACAACCCACACCTCTCAACATCAAATGGAATCCATCACCCCACAACCACTACAAATTAAACATCGATGGAGCGGCTTCTAGGACTCCAGGGTTAAATAAAATAGGAGGGGTCGTAAGATCCTCGGATGGGAACTTGATATTAGGATATTCACAACATATATAGTTTGACACTAGCATACAAATGGAGCTAACACCATTACTTTACGGCTTACGCTTGTCCTTATATCATGGTTACTATCCATTGGAGATTAATCTTGATGTCAAGGAGGTAATCACATTAATCCATACAAATAATCCTCACTATACTAATTTGATTAATGACTGTAGGTTGCTGCCCTGGCAGCTGGGCGATCCTCTTCTACGACATATATACAGGGAGGCAAATATGGTAGCTGACGTCTGGCAAAATATGGTACCCAATTACCATGCAGCAGTGACATACAACTTTTTGATGCACTACCACCTTTTGTCTACCAAGTCTTCCAGTCGGACAAAGCATGCATAGAGAGACAGAGACTTGTAAACTCTTGGGTTTTTGTTGCACCTGTATTGGGAAAAAACTGAGTCTGAATATTGAAGATGATGTGTCATGACACGTGGACTGGTCAAAAGGTCAAGACGCAATAAATAGCCAAGAGGCACGGGCGATAACAGATAGGGGAAAAAAAAGTAACATAAGTGTGGACCGTTACTAAAATAGGTACGAGTCTCGTACCTATTCGAGTCGTTTAAAGATCAAAGATCAGAAGAAGTTGAAGATACGAATCTGATGACGTAAAAAAGTTTGAATACAACATTAAATGTCAAATACGTTAGAGAATCTGAATTAAATAGAAATGATTGTATAACGTTTCTTTTAAATATCATTTATTGCTCATAATTGCCTCATTAAGACAAATGCATTATATCTTCTCAAAGAATCAACTATAAAAGGGGAAGGACTAAACATCTGTAAGGACACGAAACACGATTGAGATCTTACCGAAATACAAAACTATTTACTGCTTTACCATCATTCTCAAAAATATTTTATTTTCGTCTCCTGATTATCAGTGACCCGAATTTCTTTCTAGCTTTGATCAAAGACTTAGATTTTTGGTTAAACAAATTGGTTCCGTTACCGGGAATCTGATAATCTTTTCTTTTAAGCTACATCTTGTCCATTGTTATCACCATGTCAAACAACAACACCAACAATAACAATGAAAACATTTTGGGAAACCCTGAAAATCAAATCCATCAAAATCAAGGAGATTTACATAACATTGAAGTGATTCCCTCCCCTCAAAATTCACCACGTCAATCTCGTGAAGGCACTCCTGAATCTCGTGCTGATCAATAAGAACAATCTGGACACTTTGAAGGTGGTACAATGAAGTTTTACAAAAACTAATTGATGCACAGGTCGGCAAAGCTCTTCAGGCTCTAGTTAGTCGACTGCCTGCTGCACCACCCACACCAACTCCTAATAATAATACATTGGAGAATCTCCGTTCTGGTCTTGTTAATTCTGGAAATTGAGGAACCACCAGTGAACCACAGGAAGGGGAACCAGGTAATTCAAATAATTCCTATTTGAAAAATTTAGTACTAACTTTGCAGAAACAGATTAAGGAACAAAATGAACGTATTGAGCAAATCCCTGGAGTTCCGCCTGTAATAAAAGGAGTTGACATGGACAAATACTCACAACAACCTTGGAAGCCAAGTGCTGCTCCCCTTCCAATTCCGAAAAAGTTCAAAATGCCTGACATCCCAAAATATGATGGTACTACAGACCCACGTGACCATGTGACTGCATTTACAACAGGCGTAAAAGGCAACGACTTGACCAAACAAGAAATTGAATCAGTACTGGTCAAAAAATTTGGAGAAATACTCACCAAGGGTGCATTAACCTGGTATCCTCTTTTATCTGAAAATTCTATAAATTCTTTTCCTGAGCTTGCGGATTCTTTTATTAAAGCACATTCGGGAGCACAAAAGGTTGAGAAAAGAATGGAAGATATTTTCAAAATCAAACAAGGAGATTTAGAGTTGCTCAGAGACTTTGTTGATAGATTCCAGCATGAAAGAATGACTCTACCCCGTGTGCCTGACAATTGGGCTGCAATAGCTTTTGCAAGTAATTTAAATGACAAGTTCTGAAGCCACGAGAAGACTCAAAGAAAGCCTTCGAGAATTCCCTGCAACCACGTGGAATGATGTTTACAACAGGTATAGTACGAAGCTGCGAATTGAAGAAGATACCGTACCTAAGTTTCATCATGAAGAAAGGGGTGGTTCCAGAAGATCAGAAACCGAAAAAAGATCAGGTAAAAACAGGTACGATCCATATATGGGACCTGTAGGAAAAGACCCACGGTCAAAACAAGATAGCCAGCAATATGATCAAAAATCGAGGAATAGGGACTCTGGTTCTTCATC